TCGAAACATCACACTAAACATCCAAGGACTAGGGTTTGGTGGATGGCCAAAGACAATGCGACACCGACGCCGGTGCTTGGACACGGTGTTGCGGTACCGCTTCAACGTATTTCTGCCCCGTTTTTGCGCCACAAGCTTCAATTATACTCTGAAACATGATATTGGACGGGCCCGCGGCCCATTGCAGGTCAAGAACCTCTCAAAGTGCATTTGCCGATTCTTGAAACCCACCGACAGCAGCATGCGCGTCCGGCGGACCACCGGTGTCCTCGCACTCGTCGCCGCCATGTCGGTCCATGCACATACGCCTAGCACGGCCTCGCCGCCAGATGTAGCCGCTCACTGCGCCGCGCCCAACTCGGCGGCGATGGCCGAATCCGTGCTCCTGCAGACCTGCACGACGACACGCGAGAGCGGGCCAACGTCGATGCGCGCTCTTGTCGGTGCCTACGTGCCGCTCGACGACATCGTCAATGGCCTCGATGCTCTCTTTGCCCTGCCCGAGCTCTCAACCAACATCGATGTGGCCGAAGTCGCCCATGCGCTTTCCGACGCTGTCGTCGCGTCGTGGGCTGCCTTTGTCACGTGGTGGTCGTTTGCCAAGCTACTGCTCGTACCGCTCTTGGCATACCTCGTCCTTGTCGTCGATGTCTTGATGCCGCACGCCAAAACATGCGCGCTGGCGCTCTACGATGCGTTCCTGGACCTCGACCTCGAGGTGCAAGTCGGCCTCGTGAGCGTCATGCTCTTCGTGTACTTGGCGCTCCGGCGCGGCTACTATCGCAAGTTCATCAAGCTCTACCTCCGGCTTCGCGCGACCTTGCGCCGGGCGTACCACCGCGCCCTGTCGCAAGTGTTCGCCAAGTCCAAGCTCGCGGGCATGGCGCTGCCGCACGTATTTTTTGCCGTCGCCGCCTACGTCCTGCTGCAAGTCGACGCGATCGTCTTTTTGATTGGCCACGAAAACGTTCTCATCTTCCTAGCGCGCTGGCTGCCGGTCTTCAAGTCGATGCAAACGGTCTTTTTGCGGCGCCGAAAAGCACTCACCGAGCCGCTCACGCCCACCGACGACGAGTACCTCGAGCAATGCCTGCACGTCTGGATCCCGTGGGCGTTCTACCACACCAGCGTCAGCCTTCTCTCGCTCGCACTGCCGTCGTTTGTCCTCTCCATGTGCTCGATGTCGCTCCTCCCGACCAACGTGTTTTTGCTCTGGCTGTACCTCCCGCTCACGCGCGGCTACCGCGTCGTGTACGCCGCCATTGCCGCGTACATGCACCCGTTTGCCAACCGGCTGCCAGTCAACGGCGAAGGCGACGAGCACGCGTCGTCCAACATGGTGCTGCGCGCCCTGACCGCGATGGGCGCGCTCTCGGTGCGGTCGGCCAACTTTTTGCGGGACTTGCGCGCCCAAGGCCCGGCGCTGCTCGGGCTGCTCTTCCTTGGGACGCCCGGGTTTCTCACGATCCGGGGTTGCGATTTGATTGCGCTAGCGTTTCCGGCGTACGTGGCCATGGGCACGTTAGCGCTCGGGCACCGCCGCACGCACGAGTGGTGGGTGTGCTACTTTACAGTCGTTGCGATCGTCGAGGCGCTCTACGCTTCACTCGAAGTTGTCTTTTGGTGGGTGCCCTTCTTCTACCATACCAAGTTGCTCCTCCTGCTCTGGCTTCAATTCCCGTACTTTCATGGCGCGCAAGTGGTCTTTGACGCGGTGTTCCACAGCGTCTTTATCTTGCGCCCGCGACGCCCTCGTCTGGTGGTCGACACCACCGTGCTCTCGGAGGCTGCCACGTAATGGGCCGTCAATACACCCTATGTACTCTACCATTGCATAAGTGTCTTTGGGTGCATGCTAGAGGAAATTTGTTTAATATGGCATGACGGCGTTCATAGGTTGTGCTGCCACGTATGCAGTGCGGTCGCTGCCCAGATGTCTCCTCGACGCTCGGCAATAGCGTTAACATTAGGAGGGTCGGTGAGTAGAGCATCCCGCTTCCCATAGCGAGCGGCGACTGTGGTGAGTGTGCACCACACTGAGGACACGTCCCGCTTCGGCTTAGCTTTTAGCCCGGAGCTTCCGGCGTCCCGGCAATTTGCGTGACCAGCTTGTTTTAGTTTTATCCGGAAATATGTACGGATAAACACCTCGGGTGACAAACTATCAACGGCACAACCATCATTCTGCTGGGGCGATGACAACCCGATCAAAAGCCGCATGACGTCATTTGCCCATTAGCGACGATGGCCTCGCCCGTGCTCCGGTCGCCCGACCTTTTCGCAGCGATGGCGACGTACCAAGATGGACTACCGCAAGATTTGGCAGATCTCGAGCGCCTTGCCGAAGCCGTCGAGCTCACACCGTGCTCGCAGGTCATCAACGAAGAACAAACGGGGTACCTCGCCCACGTCCCCGCCCGGTTTGCGACATCACCGTACCTCCAGCGCTACCCGCACCCGACGACGAAGCT